GCTGAGGAGCCCAGAAACTTCTAGAAGAGGCCCAGAGACACAGCCCAGGTTCTATCCCCACAGGCTATGCTCAAAGCAGAGGCAGAACTCTGGGTTTGTGGGGTAGATCCAGATACTCAGAGGAGGGAGCCATCTGTCCCCACCTGCAGCCTCAGGGGGAAAAAAGAATGTCCCAAGCACAAACATGAACACTGGCTCCAGAGCAGAAAGTTCAGGAATGGCAGGGAGTGCCCTGTGAAAGCCCTGGCCAACATCCCCCTCCCTGCCTCCACTGCACCCCACAAAGAAGCTGTGCCTCCGAGAGGAAATAGATGAGGCTTGGACCACACTCTGTGCAGATCCTGTCTGTCACGCATCTGTTCTCACAACTCCAGTTCTCATGCTTCCTGCTCACTCCCTTCCTGAACTCTATATCCCCTGCCCCTTGCCCTATTAGACAGCAGCCCTGCTGCCTCCCACCCACTTCCACCGAAACCAGGTGAGGCTTCTCTCCCCCTTCAGTGTCCAGGGAAAGCCAAATTGCCTTGAGTTCTGAAATGTGACCTCTGGAAGGAACCAGCCTCAGGATGCCAGAGCCAGGACATCAGATAAGTGGCTCTTTCGTGGGCAAGGTTCTGCTGGGACTGAGCTCTGGTCTTCCGAGGCTCCCTGACTCAGCCCCAGGGAAGGAATGGGGCTGTGAATGGCCCTATGGCATCCCATGTTCCCTCAACCCCAATGCTGGAGAACTACACTTGTACTACTCCTAGAACCCTCAGAGCTGACGGGGGATCATCTCAAACCTCACCCCGTGGCTAAGGAAAGAAAAGGGAAGCAGCCTGCACCAGCCTCCCTCTCAGATTGTCCTCTGAAAATGATGGCAGTCCCCACTGATAGGCATGTGTGATCCAGGGACCCCCACTTTGCCTCTTCCCATCCATTCCATCCTCTCATTAATCCTACTAGTTTCTTCCTTATTCCAGATAAAGGGACAGAAGCTCAGAAAGGCAAGGATGAGCTGATGAGACATGTCAGCAAGCAACACTCTTGCCCCAAAGCCTGAGGGTTCAATCTCAGGAGCCTGCTTAGGTGGGAGGAGAGAACCAACTCCACAAAGGTGTCCCCTGACCTATACACACACACCATGGTACACATATATGCACACACGCACACACGCACCATGGTACACATGTATGCAAACACACACACACACACCATGGTACACATGTATGGAAACACATACACACACACCATGGTACACATGGATGCAAACACACACACACACACACACACCATGGTACACATGTATGCAAACATACACACACACACACACACACCATGGTATACATGTATGCAAACACACACACATACACACCATGGTACACATGTATGAGCACATACACCATGATACATATGTATGCACACACATAAACATACAAATAATAATAAATATTTTGTTTTAGAATTCATTATTATTTTATGTTTTGTTAGTTGAGAGTATTATATCTATTTTGATCATATTCACCCCCCTCCCTCAACTCTTCCCAGATCCACCCCCCATTCCCTACCCATCCAACTTTGTATCCTTTTTTTTTTCAATCCTTCAAGACCACTTAGTGTTTCCCAAAATATTTGTGGGTGTGTGGTCTTTAACTGAGGCACGGTTGACTTACCAGAGGCTACACTCTTTGGGAAGATTGTCTCTCCTTCTCCCAGCTGCTAACAATAGCTCCATGGCTAAGGGTAGGATTGTGCGCCCAAAATAAATTATTTTAAAACACAAAAAGGGATTTGCAAGGTGTTGCCCAGCCAGTAAGCAAGACAGCCACAGAATTCAAGCGGCTGAAAGCAGCTGGGTACCAGAATACCCACTCTTCTTATCTAAGGCATCAGTGCCCTGTATGCAAGACCTGCTTGCTGAGTCTGCAGCTTCTTGCCTCCTGAGAAACAGAACCATTCATTCTTGACCATCCAGCGCTCACCAGCACCTACCATGTTCTGGGTGATGTGCCTGTTGGTGGAGACAGAACAGAGTGAGTCCAACCCCTTAAGATGTCAGTCTAAAGCAAGAGAGAAGACAGTAACCAACCATGCACGCCCATGACACTATCAGAGCAATTGTAACTATCCCCCTGTCCCCAGGAAAGGTTTCCCTGGCCTTTCTGGAGCAGTGACATTTAAACTGAAGTCTCAAGGTTAAGCAGGCACAGATTTGGGGAAAATAAAGAGCTGGCACACACCTTCAGTCCCAGCACTTGGGAGACAGAGGCAGGTGGATTTCTGTGAATTTGGGACCAGCCTGGTTTACACAGTGAGTTCCAGTTCAACAAAAGCTACATAGTGAGACCCTGTCTCAAAAAAAAAAAAAAAAAAAAAAAAAAAAAAAAGAAGAAGAGAGGGGAAATGAAAAAGAGGGAGAAGAAACAACAAACAAGAAAGCTGGAAAGCTGGAAAGCATATGCAAAGGTCCTGGGGTCTGAGGCAGGAAAGAGACTCTGACAGTCTGCTGGAGGAGAAAATGAACGAAGGGCAGAGTGCTGAAGTGTGAAGACTGGAAGGAAGAGGCTTAGAGTGAAGAAGGTGATGGAACCATATTGTGCCAGGTGCCCTGGCCATGTTAGCAAGATGGGCTTTTATTTCACATGCATTAGGAAGCCACTGAAGGCCTCCGTCTTTTTTTACTTTTTAATATGATCTGTATTTTCCTAGGACTGCTGTATTGGTAAGGGGGTCTATGGAGACGGGGGGGGGGGGGGGGGGGGGGAATTGCTACATATATGATACATGCAGGATATTTGGCGTGCTCTGACTGGGAGAAAAGTGCCCAACAACAGAGCTGATGATATCAGTCCTCGTGGATTTCCAGCCCTCACTCCCATCCTGGGTAAATGGAACAACAGGCACACTGAGCAACAGCAGCTGTCCTTAGGAAGCAGGGGTTATCGGGGTCAGCAGTGGAGATTGGGCCAGGGCTCTCATGCATTCCTGTCCCCTTATCAGAGGAGCCCCAGGTCCTGAACATCTCCGGAAGGCAATCCACCCCCCCACCCACTCCACTGGTTGACACCAGCTATAGGCAGAAGGCCAGCACGGGTGACCCAGCAGGAAGACCAGGGCCACCTGAGTATGTGTGGAAGGTGGTGAAGCCAGATAATGAGATCCAGAAAGAGCCCTTGGGGAAGAAGATGATGAGGGAGATGATGCAAGACCAGGTGCAAATCACAGCCCTCCCTCTGGATCCCGCATCTCATCCACAGATCTCTGGCCAACGCTCCTGAAGGAGCAAACCCCACACCCCCTCCACCCTGCGCCTTCAACCTGCAGCCCTGCCTTTCTCCTTTCCTTGCAAGCATCAAGAAAAGGGACGGATGGCACTTTTCCATCCACACCCTCCAGTTTCTGTCCCCACCCCACCCCATGATAGAAAATCACTCTGGTGCCAGTCCCAGAGTGCTCTATGACTCTGTGTCTTGGATTCCCCTCTGCAATCTTCTCTCCGCCCCTGCTGGCCCTTGTTCTCTGTCTGGTCCCCTTTCCACAAGTGCCCCTTCCTCTGCCTGCTCCCTAAACTGCAGGTGCTCCTGAGACCTTGGCCTGGTCCCATTCCTCTGGCACTGTGTCTCCTGCTGAACTCCCCAACACCAAGACCCCTGCAGGAAAACTTACACCCCACTTGTTCCTGAAGAAACTCCTGCAGCCACCCCCACTCCCTACCCCACCCACGTTCTTTGGTGACCAATGAAGTCACCAAAACAGAACCCACCAAAAGTAGTGCCGTTGCTTACCATGTCCCAAATGCAACACATGTGCCATAAACCATTGCACAAACCAGTTCCAACCAGCCTCACACATAGGCTTGGTCACAGAATTCATTAGAATGTATGGGTGACACAAAAATCTAGATGAGGACACCACGGTGGCCACTCACACAAGGGATGGTGAAAATGCTAAGTTAGCCATCGCTACTTGGCCGGTTAAAATCAAGGGAGCCAAGCCTGCCTTCTTGCAGATCGATCTCATCCTATAAACCCGGCACGTGTCCGTCTCATTTTTATGCTGTTTGTTTTGTGACTGTCTCGTCTAGCCCAGGCTGACCTCAGATTTATTACATAGAGAAGATAACCTTGACCTCTTCACCCTTTTGTCTCTAACTCCCAAGTGCTGGAATTACAGGCATGTACCACCACACCCATTTTACATCTTGGTAAGGATCTCACCCAGGTCTTTGCTCAGTAAGCACACTATTGACCTATTGACTGAGTTACACAATTGCTTAGTTTTCGTGGGGGTTTGTTTGTTTAGTTGGTTGGTTTTGTTTATTTGTTTGCTTTTGGTAATTTTGGTATTTAAAATGTCTCAAAGCTTAGTGCTGAGATGCTGTCTAGTTCTCCAGAGTACGAGAAGGCAGTGATGTGTCTGGGGAGGTGGGGGGAGGGCGTATGGCAGACATGTTTTGTCCAGGCAGGAGCCACAATAGGGCTGGGTGTGCGTTCAGCATTGATTAGTCTCTCCAGGCTGAGAGTCTCAGCATTCAAGAGGCTGAACCAGGAGGAATCAGGGTTGGAGGCCAGCCTGGGCTGGATTTAAAGGCCCTGTTATATATACCAAAGCAAACAGGAGCTGGAAAGAGTAAGTGGGAGTCAAATCCAGGGTGTGAGGCCCAGACACAGGGATATAGGACGTGGAAGCCGGGGAGTGGGCTTCAGCTGTAAGAAAGAGGCAGGGAGAGGAGGGGAGGGAGGGAGAGGGGGAGGGAGTGGGGGAGGGAGGAAGTTGGTCCTGGAAAGTTCTGGAAGGAGAATTTAAAGGGTTCAAGGCTGGCTTTTGCCCCTCCATACATGGTTGGGGGTGAGAAGATGAAAGAGTAGGGGTTTTCCTAGAGGAAAACAGGGTTCTGGCTCTGAGAGGATGAAATTCCTAGGTTTCCCAGCCTCACAGGGGCAGTCTTTGAGAGGGCCAGGACCTAGCCAATGGCTATGCAGTCCACAGCTCCTCCCCTCCCCACCATCCCTCCTGGCCAAAAGGACACGCCTGGGCTGTTCAACAGCCTCTGCCCCAAGTATGAGCGTTTCCAGAAACCCTTCCCTGATTCTGACATGAATTCTGATGCTTGCTGAACCCCAACTGCTGGCTTCCAGGAGCGGTACTAGGGAGCCCTGAGGAGTCGCTGCTCAGGTAAAGGCCCTATATTCAGAATGCCCAGGACTCGAATGCCTCACAGGGATGCGTCCTCTGGAGGAGGCTGGAGGGGGATAGCCTGGACGCATGGGTCCTGATGGTGAAGGGAAGCACTCCTCCCTCTGCGCTGGACTCTTCCTCCTCTCAGTCGGCAGAGGTGACAGAACTGGGGACCTGGAGCTGAATGGGAAAGGGACTGAGCAGGGCGGGGCTGGGCAGCAGACAGAGCAGCAATGCCTGAGCATGCAGAGCCCTGGGGTTAGGGCTAGGCCTCCCTGTGTGTTCCTAAGACGCTGCCAGCTCCACCCACCTGAGATGGGACTGTGCAGAGGAGCCAGTGACTCAAAGCAAGGCCACCACGTGGCCAAGTGGTGAATGGTATAGACAGATGGGGTGAGGAGTAGAGACACTCCCCAGACGCTTATCACCCAAGGCCCAGCAGGTAGAGAAAGGAGATGCATTGGAAAAGCAAACAGTTCACTAAAACTTGGGAAGGACCCCCAACTCAAAACTGGACATTTTGCAGAGTGGACTCGGGAGCCAGCCTACCTAGGTCTGAATGCGGACTCGGTTATTTACTAGCTATGTGAGGACAAGGAATTGCTTATCCTCTCTGACCTCCAGTAGGTGAGAAAAATACCTTACCCCTTGCTAGGAGGGAAAAATACTGGTTTTTGCAAAATGCTTAAGCTCTTACTGCATAAACATGGTCTGAGTTGGCTGTGACCACACCCGATTTGCAGCTGACCCTGCAAGGGTCATGTGGGCTGTGACTTTCCACCCACGCCAGCACATGAAAGTGTGTGGCTCCCTACTTTAATCAGAGCTTCTTAGAGCCAGCCTACAGTGCCTCGGCCTCAGAGCCCCTATTATCCCCCAACAATCAGGTACAGAGGACTCCCTCGTGGAGAAGTAGCGACCCTTTGACTCAAATGAAGATGGGTTTGCTTCTGCTGGTCATTCATGCCAAGCTCACCAGCAGCACCCACCAGAACAGCATTTTCCATACTGGTATTTTGACAAAGCTGTCCAACGTGGTGATCAAAGCTATGTCCAGATGAAAGGGGGCTCTGTGGTCAGAAGAGTTTGGGTAATGCTGCCCTGTTTCATCTCACTTTGAGGGAGTCACAACGTGAATTTATGAGCTGGGTGAGGAAAGGGACCTACTTAATTTTGCTGAACTCAGCTATTTTCCAAGTTGTCTGAAACACAGAATTAGGTTTCTCTTACCACGCCTGTTGCCTGCCTTTGGACCAGGGTGCCATGAAACAATAGTTTGGGAACCACTGGCCCATCTGCTTATTTCTGGGAAGCCTCTTGTATAAAGAGCACTGCGGTCCCCTACTTTAATCTAAATTGCCTCACCTTCAGGTAAGTGGTGTCTAATTGCCTGGACATTCGCAGTTCCAACCCCCCTTCCCCAGACCAGCAAAGGACAGAGAGCAGGTTCCCCTTGAGGGGAACAGTCTGAGAGGGACTAGCCCACAACTCAGGGACTCAGAATGACTGGTTTCTGGCATCAGCACTCACCCTCTTTTATGAGCAGGCCTGCTCTGATTCTCTGATTTAATAACCTATGCCTCTCTGCCAACTCTGCATTAATAGTCATGTAACTTCATAAACGCCTCTAAGCCTCAGTTTCTCTCAGCTGTAAAAGTGGGGATGATTACAGTACCTAGTCCTGTGATGACACATTTCTGTGAAGCATTCCATAACGTGGGAAATTGCATTCTTGTTCCCCTGCAGGAGCAGCCAGCCCTTGAATCCACCATGAACTGGAGTGTCTTTGAGGGGCTCCTAAGTGGGGTCAATAAGTACTCCACTGCCTTTGGCCGCATCTGGCTGTCTCTGGTCTTTGTCTTCCGAGTACTGGTGTACCTGGTGACAGTGGAGCGTGTGTGGGGTGAAGACCAGAAGGATTTTGACTGCAACACCAGGCAACCAGGCTGTACTAACGTCTGCTTTGATGATTTCTTCCCTGTGTCTCATGTGCGCCTCTGGGCTTTGCAGCTTATCCTGGTCACATGCCCCTCCCTGCTTGTGGTTATGCATGTGGCCTATCGCAAGGCTCGAGAGAAGAAGTACCAAGAAGAAGTTGGCAAGGGACACCTTTATCTGTACCCTGGCAAGAAGCGGGGTGGGCTCTGGTGGACATATGTCTGCAGCCTGTTGTTTAAGGCCGGTATAGATGTTGTTTTCCTCTACGTATTCCATGCATATTACCCCCAATATACCCTCCCCTCTGTGGTCAAGTGCCGTTCGGCACCCTGTCCCAACACAGTGGACTGCTTCATCTCTAAGCCCTCAGAGAAAAACATCTTCATCATCTTCATGCTGGTCACCGCCGTCATCTGCATCCTGCTTAACCTTGTGGAGCTGGCCTACCTGGTGATTAAGCGGTGTTCTGAGTGCATGGAATCGCAGCGAGCGCTCACTGCACGCCCAGAGCACGACCCAAACTGGGCCAACTCTTCCAGCAAACAGAAGGACTTCCTTGCAGGAGACCTCATCTTCCTGGGCTCAGACACCCACCCAACTCTCTCACCAGACCACCCCAGGGCCCATGTGAAAAAAACCATCCTGTGAAGGGTCCCTAGGCTGGATTGGCAGGGTGGGCATGAATTGGAAGGTTCCAGTGACTCTCGTGGATGTATCTGGTCAGGGGAAGAGCTGAGCTGGAACTGGAGGCAGCTTGGAATCCAATTGTCCCTCTGCTCCAGGCCACTTGTCTCAGCTGAGTGGCCTTCATTGAATTACCCCTCTGTTTCATACCTCAGTTTCCTTTTCTGTTAAATAAACATGCTGAGTGCCACTTAACAGGGCTTCATGAAGGCACAGATGAGCAAATGCCTTCCATATGTGTGGCCCAGGGTGAAAAATTAATAAAGATAAATGTGTTCACAGAGCCAAGGTGCCCTTTGGTCTTAGCCTTCGCAACCTTCCTGGAGTCAAGGGGACATTGTCTCCTCCAGAAAAGGGGTGTCTAGATTTTTCTGGGGACTGTTCCAAAGCTAGCCTTTTGCCCCCGCTGGAAGTTTGGGCTGTGGGTATCTGCAGAGATGATGGAGTTTGGCATAATGGAAATCACCCAGACTCTGGAGACGGTATAGTTGCCTCAGAACTCATACAATTTCAGCTCTTCTCCAAAATGAGTTATTAATGTGTAGCCTGTGGGGGGGGGGTTCATTGTGAGCACTGACAAGCTCGTGGCAGGGCTAGCCAGCCAAAAAAGGCCACATACAAGTGAATCATCACTATTAGGGAGTGCTCAATGAATGCCTTGTGAAATGAGGCCGAGAGAACCCTCCCTGGGTATACTTTAACCTTCACTGTCCTTGCCAGACACAAGCCCAGCAGCCCTGGGTAGCCCCTGCTGGGTCACACTCCAGCTTTCCCAGAGGCATTCCCAACAGACAGAGGCCCCGGACACAGAGAGCATACAAGGCTATATGGCTGGCTCCAAGCCAACATGTCACCAACCTGCATTCCTTGTCTCCAGCAGGGCAGTGGGTGCCCTGGTCTAGAAAAGCCAGGTGGCTTGTCTAGGTTCCAAAATAGAGTAGCGCTAAGATCCAGTCCCCAGATACAGCCTCAGCAGAGCAGCACACAGTCCTGGGCTGAAACAAAGGTGTCCCTTTCCACAGAAACCAGCTGCCAAGGATGTCAGGACCAACTGTCTGAGGACAGAGCAAAAGAGTTGGGAACGAGGGGACAGATAGGACAAGCTGTAAGGGACTGGAACAGGATCCAGGATCGGTGTCTCTAGCACTATCCTGTACCTGGACATTTTGACACTAGAATCCTGCCTCCATCACTATAGTCCCACCCACAAACCTACCAACCCAGACAGGCTGGAGGAGCAAGGTGTGAGCCAGAGAGATGAGCCACAGGTGTTTGCTCTACACTGTGCCCAGGGAAGTCCTTCCACCCAGCCTGACTACCCACCCCAGCACTCTCTCTTGGCTCATTGGCTCAGAAAGCCCCACCCTGCTGGGAAGCAAGGAACAAAAGCTGCCTCCAGGAGGCCCTGGGGCAGACAGACAAGCCGGCACCGGAGAGTGAGGACCCACGGGGACCCAAGAAGGGTGAGGACCAAATAGAACTGGAGACAGCTTGGGGAAAGATCCCAGGGAACCTAAGCCTGGGGACTTAGCTTCACAGAGGGGAGCAAAGGAGGGCAGGGTCCCTGAGGGGAGGGAATGTTGTGCTAGGCTAAAGGGAGGCCAGAGGACCAGAGAAGAGTCTAGAAGAGACTTGGAAGAAGGAGGCTACAGCTCGGTTTAATCAGCATCCAATGAGAGTGAATGGGACCTGACAAAAAGCTGGGTTCCAGGAGACAGATGTACAGTTTGGCTCCCAGTTCCTAACAATTTAACAAGGAAAAACGTTTGACTGGGCTGCCGGAGTGTATGTGAAACACCCTGCAGTGGAGGATGGAGGGGGCTCAGCATGTGTCCCAGGGATACAGAATCCAGGAGCTGAGTCAGGGATGGTGCAAGGAGGGTTTCAGATGAAGCATTATAGGAACTCCAGCTCAGGGGATAACAAAGTTGGGGTACACAAAACATGCCTGAATGGAAATAGTGGGAGATGTGACTATCAGACAGCCACTAATTAGGCAGTAAGAGAAGAGGGATGTACTCCCCTGCCTCATCCCCATCTCTTACACACACACACACACACACACACACACACACACACACACACACACACCAGTGAAATGGTTGGAATTCCAGAGGAACCCACTTTGGTCCAGATTCAAGACAATGAAAAAGATGAATAAACAAGTATGACAACCTGCTCTGCTCTGACATGGCAGAGAGGGAACAATGCCAAGCCACCTCGATTGCTGAAGAGCCCCTGTGTAGTTTGGGAAGGCATGTCGCAGAAAGTTCCCAGAGCCGCAAAGGAGTGAGGATAGAGACTATTCTGAGATGTAGACCACAGGGTCAGACTGAGCATTCCCAACACAGAGCCCTGCTGGTGCTGGGTCCAGAAAAATTTCAGTGAATTTCACAACCAATAAAGGCTTACTTCCCCTGCCCCTTCTTGCCCTCATCTAATCCCCAAAGCTAATGGGAGAGCAAACAATCTTATGTTAGAAGTCTCTGGGCCACTATGGCTGAGGTGTGGGATAAAAGGGGCTGGCTGGCACAGGCACGCGTGATTACTTATATCCCATGTGCTTGTTTCTTTGTAGAAGAAAAGAGACCTTGATTTTGGAGTCTGAAGACCAGGTTTCAAGACCACCTGTGCTACTTGCTGTTGTGAGATCTTAGGCAGGTACCTCTTATCTCTCAGCCTTAACACACTTTCCTGTGAAATGGGCACTGTGGCCATCCCTTCTCTGAGTCACTGAGAGTGAGGATACAATGTCCCAGTGGTTGTTGTGAAACAGTTCTGGCCTTGACATCATCTATAAGGACACCCATTGGTGGGTTCTACCAGGCCTTGTTACTCCCAGGGCCTGAGAGGTGAGCATACTAGTGCATACTCGTCCACGTGAGGCACTGAGGACACAGCCAGCATGAACTGGGGGTTTCTACAGGGAATCTTGAGCGGCGTGAACAAGTACTCCACTGCACTGGGCCGCATCTGGCTGTCTGTGGTCTTTATCTTCCGAGTGCTGGTATATGTGGTGGCAGCCGAGGAGGTGTGGGACGATGAACAGAAGGACTTCATCTGTAACACTAAGCAGCCAGGCTGCCCCAACGTCTGCTATGATGAGTTCTTCCCCGTGTCCCATGTGCGCCTCTGGGCCCTGCAGCTCATTCTGGTCACCTGTCCTTCACTGCTTGTAGTCATGCATGTGGCCTACCGTGAAGAACGAGAACGCAAACACCGCCGCAAACATGGGCCCAACGCCCCAGCCCTGTACAGCAACCTGAGCAAGAAGAGGGGTGGCCTGTGGTGGACATACCTGCTAAGTCTCATCTTCAAGGCTGCCGTGGACTCAGGATTTCTCTATATCTTCCACCACATCTATAAGGACTATGACATGCCACGAGTGGTAGCTTGCTCTGTGGATCCCTGCCCCCACACCGTGAACTGTTACATCTCCCGACCCACGGAGAAGAAGGTCTTCACCTACTTCATGGTAGTCACAGCAGCCATCTGTATCCTACTCAACCTCAGTGAGGTCGCCTACCTGGTGGGCAAGAGATGCATGGAAGTCTTCCGTCCCCGGCGACGAAAAACTCGGAAGCAACAGCTACCAGATACATGCCCGCCATATGTGATCTCCCAAGGAGGCCACCCCCAAGATGAAAACGCTGTCCTAACAAAAGTCGGGATAGCCACGGTGGATGCAGGTGTGTATCCATGACCTGCAGGTAGGCTTAACTGGCCAAGGCCTGTTCACTGAAGCCACCCAAGGAAACAGGGCAAAGGCAGCATTGTCTTCTGCAGCAGGTCAGGTGGGAAATGCGGCTATGGGGGCTCTGGACATTCATCCAAGTGCTAGTGGGAGATGGGAAACACCCTTGAGTCCTTAAATCCTGAGCCTCCAGAGACTTGATGGCTGGTGGGGATTTTATATTTGTCAATAGAGTACCTCAACCCCCTTAATAAATATGATGTTCCCAGTGCTTTGTAGACAGGTTGTGTGTGGTAGGTGGGGAAACATGAAGGTGTTGCCTCAGGTAGGCCTCTTGAAGGAAGCCAAGCCACTAAGTGATCATCTGAACCCTAGCCTCAAACCACACATACATACATACATACATACATACATACATACATGCATGCATGCATGCACACATGCACGCACACACACATCTAGACTTGAGAAGAGTAGCAAAGACAAGACCTATACCAGGGGCCTCACAGCTCTACAGCAAGCTCAACAGGGAGCACTGGAGACCTCTTCTCTGGTCCTCAGAGAGTATAAATTCATCCATACACTGTGTGGCTCAAGAGGCTTTGCCTTCCATTTCCTGACCTCCCCAACTCTGCCCAATGTAGGTCCCATATAGGGAGCACCTGCGAAGGTAAGAGAATGCTGCTGAGAGCAAGTGATAGATGGAATGTCCCAAGGATGCAGAGCAATGACACCACCCATCAACCCTCCACCAATCGACTTCCCTGAGCTACCTCATCCTCCCCCTACCCTTTAACCGCACATACCTTGACAGTCCCATAAACATCTTTCTATCATGGACCTACCTCTGGGTCCACAAGCTGCTCCTGGGAAACTCTTACATAATACAACTGGCCACTCCTAATTAACTTTGCCCTCCTTCCCCATGCTTCCCTCCTCACAGGGACCCTGCCCCACTTATGAAGGGCACTACTATTATCTAGCTGTCCAAACCAGGAGCTGGCCTATGACCCTCACTCAACCCCTCCCCTCCATCAGCCCCTCGCAGCTAACATCTCAGCACAGCACCACAGAGCACTGATCCCAACCTCTGAGGGCCTCCTAAGTCAGCTCCTCTGTCACCCCATAGCCTTCCATCAATCCTCCCCCAGGGCCTCTCAGATCTACCCTCCACACCTGGATGGAATGATTACTCGGTCCATGAATGTGACCATGCCTTTCCTTCAGCTTTAACATTTCTTTCAGCACACCCACCCCTAATCCCATTGCCCCCAAGCTGGCTTTACTGACCTCCCTACTCCATGGCTTCCTCCCTCAGTTTACTACTGACAACACCTAGGCATTCATGATGCTATAATTGTACCTCCAACCTTTGCCATACTGATCCCTCTGCTTGGAATACCCCTCCTGCCTCCTCTGCCAATGTCAACCCTCAAGGACAGCCTTCACCACCACTCTGTATGCCAGAAAAGCCAGGGCTTTTCTCCTGTCACTCTCGCTGGGTTGGAATAACTGATACTCATGAGTGATACCCATCAGCCTGTGAGGACAGGATGCTGAGTCACCAGCTCCTTGCAGCCTTCAATAAATGTTTGTTAAATGAGTAAATGGGCTGGAGTCTCTTGGAGAAAAACTGTGTCTTGTTTATCTGAACCTTCTGCCACACCAAACCTGGGAAATCAGCTAAGTGGTTTAACCTTTGTTGGCTTCTTGTGGTTAGCTAAATCTAGTTTAAACATCTTTCTTAAAGGTAGGAAAAACCTCCAAGCCCACTGGATAGCCTCTGCGATTTGTCCTGATTGGGAACAATATCAGAGAGTCACCTATCTAAGGTCAAGTACTGGAAGCAGAGCTAGAGACAAGAATTTGGCAGAGATGATGGAGGGAGTAGGGAAGCAAGGCAGGAGGGATTGAGCTAAGTAGGGTATGCACACAGGGATCTAGAGCTTGACAAATTTGGAAGAAAGGATCATAAATGCTGCCGTGGAGTGGTCCCACTTGGATACACAGTACTGGTCCTTTGAATTCTCCTACAAGCCATTGGTTTGACCTCACCCTGGAATTAGTAGGTAGTTTTGGTTCAGTTGACATCATTTCTCCAGGTGCTGCTAACTTTGAACATGGGGACTGGTATTGGGACAACACCACCTCCTGAACTTCTGACTTAGGAGACAAGGGTGGCTCTCAACCCTCTTCAGCCCAAAGCCATGATCACCCAGCCTAGGCACTCTCAACAGAACCAGATGGCCCTACACTGTTGAGACCGAGACAGCTACCAAGTCCAGACCAGGGCACAATTCCCCTAGGAACCTAGAAGCCCACTCCAGGAGTTGCTGTTGGGTCCTGCATGCTGTAAGCTCACCGTATGACCTGACCATTTTCATAATATCCTCACATTCCAGAGATCTCATGTCCTAAAACATTAGCCAGGCAGAGACCAACTATCATTTGACCAGCAAAGGCCTCCAGAGGCGACGGAGATGAATCCTGTAGGCAGCTCCCTTGACACTAAGTTGTCTCATCCGGTGTCTCCCACATTCTCAAGCAACTCGCCTGTTGCTCTTGACTCCACTCAAACCTCCACCTTCTTGAGAAATCCCCGTGTGCTTCCCTCTGTCTTCCTCTTGCTCACTCTTTCTGTTCCTATCAATGCTACCCACTTCTCACTCATTCAAGACTGAGCCCATGGCCAGGGATCTCATCTTCCTAGCCCCTGTCAAATGACCTAGGTCCACATGGACCACTTGCGCTTTACTCTGCTCTCTTCCTTCCATTACTTTTTTCTCCTCTGTGACACTTGGCTTCCCACTCAGAAGGTGCCAGACCTTGTCATCACCTACAGCTGCTCCACCCTTAGAACCTCCCTTTGGATGCAAGTCCACAGATATTGACAACTTAGTTTTGTGTCAAATCTCCATGCTAAGTTCTGGGAAGAATAAAACCTACTCCCTGGGTTCACACAGCTTACACTCTAGAGAAACAATGACTACCAAATGTCTAGTGACCTGGGGAAGCTTGGGACAGTGGGAGGCAGCAGAGGAGGACCTGATGCCAGGAAAGGGCTCCCTGGGACCTCACAATGAGACTCGGAGAAAGCAAGGGTTTTGCCAAGTGCTGGATAATTGGATGTTGGGTGGAGATGAATAACATTTATAAATCAAGAGGGCAAAACTGATGGTTGGGGGAAAAAAAAAAACAAGATGGCTGAGTCAGCTGAGGGGCTGGTGTTTGGAGTGAGGCTGAGACGGACCAGGGAAGATCATGTAATGTGCTCTTTTCAAAAGCTGTTAGTGATCTTGGACTTCATCCTAAAAGCAAGACCAAGTCCTGGAAAGATTTATCTCAGGGGTGACGCCTGTGGTTGCAGTGTGGAGCCACTAAAGCAGGGCTACCAATCTGGAGTGTGATGCAATGGTCTGAGAAACCACGATGAACTGAACTGGGCAGGGTGTGTTCAGTGGGCATGGAAGGAATAGCTGGGTTTTACAAGATGGAATCAGAAAGATCTGCTGATTTGGTTGGGTGTGGGGACCAAGCAGGGAGAAGCATCAAAGTGACACTCATGTTTCTGCTTCTGAATGGCAATGCCATTTAGTGAGTTCAGAGCCCAGTAGATGTGCAGGCTTGATGGGGCTGAGATGGCTTCCATTCCAGATACGTACCATCTGAGATACAAATAAGAAACCTGGTTATTCCTCATCCTTCCTGGGCCACTTTGTCTTTCTCCCAGAGCATTTGTTGTGGTTCTTGATGTCTTCACAACTAAAACATCTGGACTATCAGTTCTTTGACATCCTTGCTTCCAACAAGCTTTATTACCACCCTCCAAACCTTAACTACCACGCCTTCCCTGTACCAAGAGTAGTGTCATCCCCTGTCTTACTAGCTTACTCAGTCCGGTTCTCACTAGAACAACCCCACTTCCCCATCCCTTAATCTACCCCTGCACTGCCCCTATGCATAGCCTCCCTTCTTTCCCTTGCAGCTTCGACTCCCCAGGCTGCCACCTAGGTACTCCCCACCCCTTGCTTTTGCATATGTCTCTCTAGTGCTTTGCCTTGGAGACCTTCTCCAAGAGGCATCTGTTGCTGGGCCATCTGAACAATCACACAACTGGACCAACTGATCTCAATCTAAACATCTAACAGTGACGCTCATGGCAGGCACCCACGTCAGGCACTAAGCAATCCTACATTTTCCTAAAATTTTACCCCAACTCTCCACGATGACTAGAACATACCTTTTCTTTTCTCATCCTCCAGCCCTTAATCTCCCAATCCTAGAGCTTGACTGACAGACAGACATCCCATGTCCTTGAGAAGCAAGACCAGAAAGCAAATTCCAGTTCATCCTAACACAATCACCATCTTCGTAGCATGCACGCCCAGTCCCTCTGCCTTCTCCTCTGCAATGTGGATGAAGCACCCCTGTGCCTGGCACACCTTTTACACCTGACCAGCAAACCCCATCACCTCATCTCTACTCCAGGCTGTGCTCTCTCTTTCACAAATCCCTTTTCTGAAAAATATACTATAACCTTTTGCGTCTCTCCCCTTTTAACTCTCAACACCACCTCCTTCTCCAGCTACCTACCATTCATTAACAAAAAGCAAACTCTTCTAAGAGCTGTATGTGTTTGTCTCCTCTTTTCATCCCAGTGGTCTCCAATACGCCAATGCCAGGGGTCAGCCTTTCCACCCCATTGCACTCCCTCAGCAGTGTTTGGCCTTGAGGGCCCCCTCCCTAAATTTAATCTTCTGTTGGCCTCCATTCTGCACCCTCCCCCCCCAGCTTCCACCTCACTCGTGGGTCTTTATTCATCTCTGGTGATGCTTCTTCTCCATCTTCTAAATCTCCAAATGGAAGTTGCCCTGGGACCCAGTTTTCTGCACTCTTTCTCTTCTGCACACCCTTTCTCCTCATTTACATTACTTGTTACCATCAATAAAACCACCTAAAGCCTACTGGTTTGTGTGTTCACAGCTAATTTTTTTCCACAAGGGATACATCCAGCTTCCTACTAATCTGAAACGGACTCCCATTTTCTTCATCCTGCCCTCAATGGAAGATGACCTCCCCCATCTAGCTTCCTACTCAGTCAAGAACTCAAGTCTGGGAAGATGGTTTAGTTGCTTTGAGTGCTTTTTGTGCAAGTGTAAGGACTGAGTTCAAACACCCGTCACCCACATAAAAATCTGGGCATGGCTTCCACTAGCCAACAGCCTAGCCCCAGATTCAATGAGAGACCCTGTCTCAAAGGAATTAGGTGAAGCATGATAGAACAGGGCACAGGAAAGCTTCTTTTGGCCTCCACACATTTATGTGTAAGTACAAGGGCCACAACACATAGAACCACACACACACACACACACACACACACACACACACACACACACTCATAGAAGAAGGGGGAAATACCTAGGAGCCTCTTTCTTCATAATCACACCCACATCATTGGCAAATCATACTGGCAGTAATTCCAAAATATATTCAAAACCCAATCACTTCCTGCTATCTCCAAGCCTTTTAATCCCAGGCCAAGACACCCAGTTTCAACATCTGGACCCTTGCAGCAACTGGTCTCCCTGCCTCCACTCTTACTCTTCCGGAAAGTGACCCAAAAGACTTTCTGACATGAGTCAAGTCTAATTAACACACTCTTTTGATTAAAGTTATAGCTAAGGAGGTAGCTCTGTTGGTGGAGTGCTTACTTAGATTCAATCCCCACTACCACACAAAACTGGGTGTGGTTCTGAACACCTGGGATCTCATTCAGGGAAGTAGAAGGAGGATCAGAAGTTCAAGATTACCCTATCTCAAAACAATGGCAACAATCAAAGTTTTCATTAAAGCTATCTTCAAGCAGCTCCCCATTGTGACCAAAACAAGCTACATCAAACTCTTTGCCTTTGTCTACAGGGCCCTGTAGGTGGGCCCTGAACTGCTCCCTAAGCCCTCCAGCCCTCCCCTCTGCTCTCTTGCTACTACACTAGCCAACCCATATCCTCCCCACCTCAGGATCTTTGCACCTGCTTTGTCCGGCCACTCCCTTCTCCTAGAACATTACACACTCCTCAGCACCACTCACACAGCTCCATCCCAGGAGGCTCTCTCACACCCTCCCCAGAAGCACACACCATGGGTCACTCTATCAGATGACCTTCTTCTGTCTTCCTTGTAGCATTTAGGTGGCTGTGAGAAATCTTTGTTCTCATGGTGTCAGAAACATGCGATCCTGGAGAACCAGGACTTGCTCAGCCTTTGACTCTCCCCCAACTCTCATCCCCTGGACTGGTCCTCCACATTCAGTAGGAACTCAGTAAAAAGTGGGTATCCTGATAGAGCTGACTAGTAGCCTATTAACAAAAAGGGGACAGGACTAGCCCAGAGGTAGAGATCTGGGAGTCTTCAAAATTGGCTAAATGTAAAACAAGGTTTGCTCTACAGTTGCTCATCCATAGGGAGGGGTTTTCTATAATAAAGTCTTTACAAAAGGTTCCTGCATTATGGGCCATGCTCTCAATTACTGCATTTTTAACAACAAACTATTCCTTGGGGGAATCTCATTGACCTAAAATAACCTCAATCAATGGCATTTGGGATCTCATGGAGATCACTTGACAGATTCAGAAGGAAAAAAGTTGGATGCGAAGACATTCAGCACAGATTTAAACATTATTCCTGATGGTAGGACTTTACAATTTTAAGTATTGTCTTTGTAAGCACATTATTTTATTTAATTTTTAAAAAAGTATTCTGAAGACAAAGGAAGTGTTTCTATCATAAAGAGGACACGCATTGGAATTTTTTCCTTAAATTAGGCTTTGTAACAAAGAATAAAAATTCAAGGCATTTATACAGATTCAAAAATGACTGAGTTGTTGAGTTATGGTAGTTTAACCTTGCAATCCCAGAAGCTCCTAGACTAAGGCAGGAGAATGTAGTTCACACTAGCCTGAGACTGCTTAGTGAGACTCTGACCCAAAGGTTTGGCTTTTTGTTTGTTTGTTTTTTAATAACTATGTCACAGACAACTTGTACAAAAGTTTTGTGGTGTAGAGGAGATAGCTCAGTCAGGAAAGTGTTTGTCACAAGAGCCCCAGGACCTGAGCTCATTCCCCACAACCCATGTAAAATGGCTGAGCAATCCTAGTGCTGGAGAAGTGAAGACAGGCAGACCCAGGCAGGCACTGGCCAGCCAATTTGGTAAGCCCCGGACCAATAAAGAGAACCTGCCTCAAAGAAATAGGAAGGTAGAGCCAGGCATTGCTGGCACACATCTTTAATCCCAGCGCTCATGAGGCAGAGGCAGGCAGATCTCGAGTTGTGAGTTCAAGGCCAGCCTGGTCTACAGAGCTAGTTCCAGGAGGAAGAGAGGACACAGGAAACACAAGAAGAATGAGTCTGAAAGCAGAAATCTACCACCAAACACTGCTGTGGGTTGAATTAAATAAAGACTAAAACGAACTCTACGGAGTCACAAGATGGCCACGGAGACAGAGGCGGAAGTGTCATCCACAGACATGAGATGCCCTAACCAGGTCCTCGTGTAGTGAGAGCCAAGCAAATGAAAACATGTTGCATAAACAATGAGCTGGAGAATGGTAGTCACCAGGCTAGGAAGAGAAAGAAGAGTAGTGGTCACAAGACAATGAGGGGTCATGGGAATCAAGTGTCAAGGAAATGGGGAGGTCAGGAAAGTTTTGTTTATGTAGGAGAGACAAGAATAATCAGTTCTCTATGAGAAGACTCCAGGAGAGGAAGGTCAAGAGCCTATAGCGAGCCCAGGAGGAGCCCCATGGAGCTCAGACTTAGGCCAGAGACAGGTTAACTACAGCATGGGAAAAGGGAAAATGGACCGGCTATGATGACAGCCAGTCCAGCCCTCTCACCTGTGGCTTGTCCCTCACCCTCCCACAGCCTCATGGGCACCTCGAGCTCTCTCAGACTCCCATACCTCCTCTGTTTTCTTCCTTCTGTGTCCTGCCTAGGCCGGAGCTCCAAGCATCATCAACATCGCTCTCGTCTCACGTGGGACTTGCCAACTGATGCCCATCATCCCCCTAGAATGGCAGACCCTCGCAAGGCAGGAACAGCGCTCACCCCACACCGCACATACAGTAAGAGGATAATAAATTCTCCCTGAGGTGATTACCACAAAGAATTGCTGCCCCACCAATATACACACTGTTCTTCTGCCCAGCCAACTTAGGTCCCTCAGCCCTACCTGCCACACCCATCACTACCCTTTGCTGGCTCTGCTGAAGCAACCCCCACAGTAGGAGGGAGGCCTTTGTGGACCCCTGCCCTTCAGCCTTGATCTCTGGTTATCGCCCATGGTGACAGCCTTCTCAGTTTCTCCACTCTCAAATTTTCTATCCCATTCCATGTATTTACATCTGTTTTCAGAAGTAGAAACCCTTCTTGCAACTGCCTCCAAGCCTACAGACCACCCCTGCCTTCCTCCATCCTTTCCCAGAGCACAGGGAAAGGATTGGGCCTACACCTTCTAATTGTTCAAGCTCCCCACCAGTGCTTTAGGTCCTTTCTCTGGACTCTTCGATCTCCTACCGCTCTCTGTCCATTCAAGGGTTCTCAAATCTTTCCCACCCCCCAAAAAAAAAAAAAAAAAAAAAAAAAAGGGACAGGCACTTCCTTGACCCCACATCCCCTGTAGCTGCCTCCCTAACTTTTCTGTCTGGCTTTCACAACCATTCATCCTTCCTGGCCTCCCACTCGCTCACCTACTACGTGTGATCTGTCTCCTCTCCATCACGTCTGTCAACCACTCTACCGATGCCAATTTCACCTACTATTTGTCACTCAGCCCAGTGGAAGCTCTGCAGGCCCTGTCTTGCATGGCGGAGCATTTAAGAATACGTGGCCTTTCTTCTGGAAATTCTTGTTCATGCCATGGATTCTCTCATTGTTCTATCCACCCAGTCCTGTTCCTGTCCCTTTAAACTGGGGCTCTAAAGGTCACAGCTAGCCACATATCCTGGCTCCTTGTCTTCAGATGAAGCCAATCAGATTTCGGTCATGTTTTCAATGGTGTCTAAGAAAAAGCATGGAATGGCAAGACTTAGGGAGATGGTTGAAAAGCTACTGTGTTGAAAAGCCTCATGCAAATTGTCCTGGGTAACAGGAGAGGTCAGAGCCAAGAGTCCTGGAGGAGCAGAGGCCAGCAGCAAGCAGGAGAGAGATCCAAGACACTTTCCAGACCTCACTCAACTACCACTGTGACCTCAAGGTACCCTGCCCTCCCTGTACTCCAACAAATCAATAAATTCTCCTTTATGCAAAACACATCTAAGTTGTATCTGTCGTTTGTGATTAAGAGTCTTGACTTGGGGGCTAGAAGGATGGCTCCGTAATTGAGAGCACCGCTTGCTGCTCTTGCAGAGAACCTGATTTCAATTCCGAGCACCCACATCAGACCACTCACAACCACCTGCAGCTCCAACTCAAGGGATCGATGCCCTTTTCTGTCCTCTGTAGGCACATATACATGCTCCCTCCCTCCCTCCCTCTCTCTGTTTCTCTCTGTCCCCCCACTCTCTCTCACACACACACATAAGCAAATAAAAAAATACGAAAATAATGTTTTTTAAAGTCCTGACTAGGGATGGGAATTGTAGCTCAGTTGGAAGAGTGCTTGCCTGATGTGCACAGAGCCCTGAGTTCAACCCTCACCACCAAGTAAACCCAGCACAGTTTTGGACAACTGTAATCTCAGCACTTATGAAAAGATGGAGGCAGAAAAATTAGGGGTTTAAAATTACTCCCAATTTACATATTGAGTTCAAGGACAACCTGGGATACATAAGACCCTATAACGAGAAGTAGAGTTGGAGAGATGGCTCATTAAGTAAGACAGCTTGCTCGAGTTTGGGTCCCAGCACTCTCATAAACCCAAGTATGAAGTAATGGATCACTAAACTAAACCCTCAATGCCAAATGTGGGATACTTTCATAGGCGCTGTTGATCAGGGAGAACCCCAAAGCCTCTAAAACAAGACGGGCACTTGCCATTGCTCTTGGTTGCCCACTAGAGCACCAGTTTATTGTTTGTTTTGATAAGGCCCTATTTCTGAAGATATGTAAGGTACAAGATACAGAGAAATCAAACTGGAACTGAGCTGGAAGCTTCCAGCATTGGCCAGCTTTCACAGCTGAGAGGTGCTATGTGGGATGCTGGGGGAATAAAGGAACTAACGGTGTACCAAAGCTGAGAAACTCCATGAGATACACCCACATGCCAAGCAAGATGTGCCCACTGGTGCAATAGCCAATCGAGTGTTGTAGAGGTAACCAGCCACTTCCACAAACAGAAAGCAATGCCTAGTACTGCAAACCCAGTCAAAAGTCTATGACTAAAAAGGTCTTAGGCCCTAGGAAGGAACTTCTGCCTAGCCTAAATTACCATACTATCAGACCATCTTTTAAATATCCATGATTGTGCCCACAACAAAGGCTGGTCTCAGCTTTACTCAAGAAGCCACTCTCTCCAGTGAGTGGAGGTGGATGCAGGAACCCATGGCTGCACAGGATGCTGAGAATGAGGAATGGTTGAGGCCTCCGCCCTAAACAAGACTTTTAAAATATCCCCTTAAGGCTCAGGGAGCTCTACAGAAGAGAGACCAGAGAGAATGTAAGAGCAGGGGAAACAGGAAGAAAACAGCATGATAGGGCTATGACAACAATGCTGTACTCACAATAGCCATGCCTACGGGCCCTTGACCTACACAAATCAGGCCAACTCACCAGTCAGCTGTGGCTGGGAAGGCACCAACAGAGCGCTTCCACTTACTGATAATCTGGTGATCTATATGACACACTGATCTGCTTAGGAGAAGGGGAGACATGGCATCTAGCTGTATACCCATTGAGGAGTCCGCCAGATCTAAGGAATAGTTCCAAACCCAAGGGCACACAGATGGCCCTAATCAAACTCTGTGGGATGCAAAATAGAACAAAAAGTATGGAAAGGAGGTGTGTAGGGAAGAAGAGGAGATTGACATGGGTGGGAGGGAGGCAGGAAAAGCTATGAGGTGAGAGTGGTGAGAATACATTACATACATGTACATATGTTTCTGTGTGCAAGTATACATGAACTTGTTAAAGAACAAAATTATTAATAAAAACAATACTAAAAAAAAAAAAAACAGGCATGGGCCCTGGAAAGATGGCTCAGTGGCTAAGACCACAGGCTGGTCTTTCCAAAGACCTGAATTTAGTTCCCAGCACCCATGTTGGGCCTCCCATAAGCACCTGTTACTCCAGCTTCAGAGGAATCCATCACCTCTGACCTCTACAGACTGCATTCAAGTGTTCAAGCCCACCCACAAATATACACACAATTAAAATAAAATGGAATGTTTTATTATTAAAAGATAGGCAGGTCAGGCATGCACTGATAACCCCAGGACTGTGATGAATCTGGGGCTTGCTGGCCATCAGCCTAGCTCCAGGCTATCTCAAGAGAATAAGGCAGAGAACAATAGAGAAGGACAACTGACATCTTCATGTGGCCTCTTCATGCACACAAGAGACCACACAGACACTCAGTCACACACACACACACACACACACACACACACACACACCAGTATTCAGTACCCAGGCTTCTTTCTGTGACCTCACGTCACCAGCTCTATATTTTGAATTTAATTTTGATAGGATATGCATAATATAAAAACTACCCTCTTGACTATTTTAGGCAGGTCGAGCAGTTTCATTAATTACACTCCCAATGCTGTGCAGTCATCACCACTAATTAACTCCAGAAAATTTTCATCATGCCTAACAGAAACTCTGTACCCATTAAAGGCTAAGTCCCAGTCACCCCTCAACCCATCCACTGGTCACCCCTGCTCTAGTTCCTGTGTACAGGTTTGCCTACATTTGACATTTCATACAAGTAGGACTGTACAGTATGTGTCCTTTGACCGTCCATTTGACTTAGGGCCTAAGTCTCAGACAATACCTTCAACATTCATCCACACTGTGGTCCATATCAAAACCCTTTGCACTGTTGGATAAAATTACATTGTAAACCAGCAGTGGTAGCTCAAACCTGTAATCTCAGCACTCAAGAGGCTTGGGCAAGACAATTACTGTCTGTTCCAGATCAGCCTGAGTTACACAATGAGATCCAGTTTAAAAAAAAAAACAACAAAAAAATCCATTGCCTGTTTATACCAAACTTTGTTTCTTTACCCATTCACTCATTGGTAGACATTTGGGTCATATTCACTGTTTGGCTATCATGAGCATCATTGTTGTGGAGATTCCCATACAAGAGTTGGTTTTCATCCCTGGGTTCCATCCTCTGGGGCAAATACCTAGGAGTGGATTTCTCTGGATCATGTGGGAAGCCTGTTTATCTTTGGAAGTGCTGCCAAACTGTCTTCCACAAACACTGTACCATTTTATATTTCCACCAGCAGTGCAAGAGGGTTCCAATTCTCCATTTTCCTATCCAGAGGCTTGACCCACCCCTGCAGCTGCCTCTGAATGTTCCCACACAGGTGTCCTGCAAGGAGCTCAGACCCAGCAACAGCAAAGGAAGATTTGGCTGTGTTGAAAGATCCAGTCTTGAGCCAAATCCCATGCCTGATGTGGATGGTTGGGGATTAAGGGTGACTGGGGATGCATGTAGGATTGAGTGAAGTACCTATTGTGTGTTTACATCATCATTATACGAAGGGATCTTTTCAAGGCTATGTCAGAACATCCCAGTGTCCTGTTCAAAACAGCTGTACCAAGCCTGACCTTGAGCAGCATGTGCCCTTAATCTATTAAGCCACTTCCCAACCTCCAACACTATACAGCTTTTTCATACAAGCATGTTCTATGCCCCATCTGAAATCCATATTTAGTTTGATGTCTTGATTTTTTGCTTGTTTTTGTTTTTTCTTCTAAGTCTGGCAATCTTAATAAGGGCTGAGCCAGACGTGGTGGTGTACACCTTTAGCTCCAGTACTTGGAAGACAGACACATATGGATCTCTGTGAATTTAAGGGCAGTCTAGTATACATAGAGAATTCCTGGACAGCAAGAGTGAGACCCTGTCACAGAGTTTTTAAAAAAAAAAATTAAGGAAGGAAGGAAGGAAGGAAGAAGTGAGGGAGAGAGGGAAGAAGGAAGGAGGGAGGGAGGGAAGGAGGGAGGGAGGGAGGGAGGGAGGAAGGGAGG